TGGCACTCCCGTGCCACTCGAGATATCAATGAATCGGAAGGGTGAATTTCCGGCGGAAAACTGAGTTTGTACCTCCTCCAAAAACTCGTCTTCAAATCAAGTAAATCTTCGTCCCCCAACGGATCGTCCAGGTCCTGGATCTGAGCCTGGCTGTGATCCTTCTCACGGGCGGTAGCTTGCAGCCTAACGCTATGCCAGGCTTTCCTCAACCGCGCTCCTTCCAAGGAGGGGTTGGGCAGATCTTTAATCTTGGATAACCAATCATCGGTCTGCTTCTCTTCGTGAAACAAAAAGCGAAACTCTTCAAGGTCCTGAATTCCTTCGGACAATATAGCTTCTACAACCTTCTTATCCCACTTGAACTCTTTGCCCAGGCTCTCGAACGTCTCTCGCGGTGTGGCCTTCTGCACCACCATGGGCCTGGCCGCCATTGCTCAGCCGACCTGGGCCGTTGGGAAGGCACACAAACCCACACCACTCTCGAGCCTGACAAGTCCTACCAACCCAACTATGACGTGAGAGCAGAACAATCCACAACTGTGCACCAGAGAGCCCTCAACTGGCCACAGCTTGTGGACAAGAGACCACACTGTAGACTGCACAGACCACAGCTGGCTCTTTTTTTTGCTCTCATGCCACGGAAAAGAAAAAGGGGGCTGGTGAGTTGGGAACATCTGCTGAAGTGGGGGATCATTGCGATGATAAGGCATTGAGAAGGGCATCAAAACTCATCAACTGAACATGTTGCAGTGGTGTTCCTAACCCACGTGTGCACGGATGCTACCCGGCAGCAAAGACAAGCAGTCCTCTCATGCGCCAACGCTTCCCAGATGTCACTGCAACTGAACTCCGGGTGCTCCAAGCGGGCCCTGTTGATTCCTCTTCGCATCTGGCAAAGAGGGATCCCTCCACTCATTGCATGGAATCGTGAAGAAGGCCTCCGTGCCACCTCGTAGCCATCGACTGGGGCTCCCGCTCCAGTGCGATGCCGAAGGCGGCGTACCATGCTGGTAGCCCATCCCCAGTTATCCTGTGAGTGGTGGCGGCCGCCTGTCCACATGCGATGGAGTTCCACCGCGCGGGCGTCCTGGATCATCGTGGTGGCCCGATGCATGTCGCCTCCATGGATCGCTGCAAGCATCACCCCTGCTGCCAGGGGTCCACGGTGAACACCTGCAAGACAATGTACATATGCCCCTTCCCCTCTTTTGAGGGTGGCTTCCACCAAGTGCCAGGCCTGTACAGCCTCTGCGTCCCTGAATCTCTCATCAGCTGCAGCAAAGCGCACCTGCATACAGCCCTGAGGAACAATCCCTTGTTCCCCGGCTGCGCGCTGGGTGTGTACTGGCTGAAGGAACGCTGTCACCATGGCTGTAATGCCCTGTTCTGCGAAAAAGCTGCGAAGCGATTCTGTTGGCAAAGGGCCCAACCAAAGAGTGCCCATTCCCTGTGGCACTGGCAAAGGTGTGGGCGGCTCTGGCCTGCCGCTATGGCCGGGCTTGGACCATCTCTCCCTCGCCCACTGGTTGAAGATCTCGTCCTCTGGTGGGCTCCTGGACCCCTTCGGAAGGCTCCCGCCTCCCTAGGTCGGGCCTCGCGGGCTGGCTCCAAGTGAACCGGCAATGCAGGCTCCTCCTCCTCATCCTCAACAGCCTCCACCTCCGGCACAGGGCTCACCGCCCTGGCTGCTGCTGCCCGTACAGGTCCCCCTGCAGGGCTCACAGGGGCCCGATCGCCCAAAGATGCTGCTGATGATGTAGGGCCAGCTGCAGGCCATTGAAGCTCTTGGGTCGCTTGGAAAGCTTCCCGGGACATGTACTTCTTGGCAAAGCAGTCCGCTGCAGGGTGCTGTCCAGCGCAAGTCCTGCCGCTGCGCATCAAGATTCCGCACTTATGATCGAGGCGGCAGTCGGGATCTGCGCAGTTGTTCGTCTGGTACCTCAAGCAGAGCACATCTTGTTCGCGGCCTTTCAACCGCAAGGAGACCACCTTGCCGGGCACCAGGTTCTCGAGCGGGGCATTCCGGTAAGCCATCTTGGGCGATGTCAGCGTGAACCGGCGGGCCGCCCGGGCGCTAAGCTCTTGAGACGCCCAATGAGTGACATGTTCATGCACCAAGCTCAAGTCGCATTCTAGTTTGGCCTTTTCTAGATGTTGCTGCCACGTGCCCGGGCTAATGCTCTCCCATGTGGTCACATGCACTGATGACAGAGCAGACCTGAGAGCCCCGGCCAATTGCAGCTTGATCTTCACCGACAGCAAGTAGCGCACTGCACTATACCGCAAAGGCATCAAGCTCTGCCCCTCAGGCGGTTTCAACTGCCAGTCGGACAGAGCTTGAGTCTCAGTGGGTTCCAAACCTACCAAGGAAGCCAGGGTGGGCAAAACACGCCTTGCTGAATAACTTGTAAGACTGTCAGGATCCTGTACGTGATCCGACATGATCCGACGAATGGCTGATGTGATTGCGGATTGAGTCAGCGAGGCCAACTTTGTACTGTCAAAAACCATACCGAAATCACGCCGCTTCAAAACTGCTAAATAGGCTGGCTTGTACATCTCCCACCAATCCCACTGGGTTGTCACGAAAAACCGTGGGATGGCGAAGTCAAAGCCCCCATGCCTGAGGTTCTTTTGCTTTCCTTTTGGGCACCAACAGTGGATCATATTGGGGCTAGCCCGCAATACAACGGCCCGGCGAATATGGGCCATGCGAAGGCAGCCAAAGCCCTGAATCCAATGTCCAAGCATCCCAGTCCATGCAGGGTTGCCCGCCCTCTGGGCAGCAATGATGGCGGTCTCCAAAACCCTCAACATGGCAGGTTCCAGCACTGGGGCCTGTTTGGAGTTATCCCCAATGGCCGGCTTGGCCCTCACAACCTCCGGCTGTAACACTGAGTCCATGTGCAAAGGGATCAGCAAATTGCGTTGGAGCCATTTCAGTGAGTGATATGCCCTGCCCATTGCCTTGTGTGAATGCACAAACGCCTCAACTGTTGAAGCTTCCAGCTCAACAAGAGGGCGCTTTGTGGTCTGGAGAAAAGCCATGAGTTCATCCCAGGTCATAACCGCTCGCGCCACAGTCGCGAACTCTGCACTGCCCTGCACCTGCTGTGCCCGGCGCTGTGCTGAGTCCAGGCGCTCCTGCAGTGTGGCTGGCGGTAAGCCAGCTGTAGGGCCCAGCGCAGCTCGAAGGATCTGCACCAGCTGCTCCACCTGGGTCCTGCCTCTGGCCTCAAGCAGGCGTTTGGGTGGGGTGCCTTCCAGCGGACCCACTGTAGACACTGCTGCATAAACCCCGGCAGAGGTCCCGGAACTCCCGTCTCCGGGTTTGCAGCCAACTGTGTGCCAGCCACTCCCCAATCTTCTGGGCTTGTGTCACGTCTGTAAAGGCAAAAGCAAAATCCCCATCATCCAACAGGCCATGATGCTGTCGCCATGTAGTGACACGTTGGGCCCATGCAGCCGCCTCGACGGTGTCCCGAGGGCCGCGCACCTCTGGCTGGCCGGTGGTTCCCACCACCTGCGCTGGGGGACACATCATCATGGCTGAGATGACCACGAAGAGCTGAAGGCCCTGCACGAAGCCCTTAAGCCGTCTCGCAGATGCGGCATATTTGAAACTCCTCCGCACATTCGTCACACACCGGCATGTCACAGACGTCGCAACAATTGCCTGTCGGCAAGCCACACCATGTACAAGCCGGCAGGAGCGGGTGGATATGCCATGACCATAGGGTCCCCGCAGCCCTCTGCTGATCGTCGAGGACACGCACGTGGCGAGGCTCGGCCCATGCCGGGTCTTCCCAAACCTGGCTGGGGCGCAAATAGGTGGCCCATACTGAGAAGATGTCTGCTCGAGACACCACAGCATGGTCCCTGTCCAAAATGGCCTCCAGGTATTGCGGGTAGATGCTGGTGACTCGCATGTCCCCATCCACAAACGGGGCGAGGTCATCCCGTGTGAGGCGGCGCGTCCCTGCTTCCCAGTCCAGGGACCGCCCTCCCAAGGGGACCACCACACCTGCCACAGTCCAATCTGGGTGAAGCCATGGGAACTGAAAGCCGCCGTAGCTCCTGTTGCACCTGACGCAATCGGCCTCGGTGCATGGGACTTCCAAAATAGGCAACCCCTGCACCATGGTTGGAACCGACTCATAGGGCTTGTGCAACACAATGACGACATTGGATAGGTGCGCCATGGCCAGAGCACGCGGCATCCCTGCCGCGGCTTCCAGGAAGGCGCGAAGATTGCGTGGCGTGTCCACTGGGACAGTCGCCCATGCGGCCGTGCGGAATACATGGCCGAACATCAAGCAACCTGATCCTAGACACAAATACGAAAGAAAGCTGTTTTGGCTCAGCTTGAGCCAAAATGGCCCCCATACGGCGAGCACATTTTGACTCAAGCTTACATGTTCCCTGAATGATGCCATGTCACCCAAGGCCTGCCAAGCACTAACATGGAACACACATATCAACACAAGCAAGCGGAAACTAAAGTAAGTTGCATAACATCAGATTCCAACACCGATTCCCGAGTCATCATCAATGCTGCATGTCCCCACACCAAAAAAAAAAAGTAGTTCCCGGTAGGCAGTCTACATCCTTCCACCTTTGTCGAAGCTGAAAAAATACAAGACCGCGTTTGTCTGAGATAGACCAACTCAAAGACCAGTCGTGATGAGATACTCCAGTCGCTCGGCAAGTTGACGGCACTTCGTGCGCCAAACCTAAAAACAACCCTGTGCCAAAGTTCGACAAACCGCTTTGCATCCAAGCTGAGGCGTATACGCGAAGGGCACAACAACAGCTTGAACTCTCCACAATGCCTTTCAAAGGCTATACACCGCGCCGATATAGGAGGGCCTTTCACAAAAGCGACGTTGCCTTGGGTCTCGCTTTAACCCCCCAACCCCAAAAAAGTATGCCCTCTAAAACATACACACCCACCGGCCCACCAAAGCCCTGCGACATTTTGCCCAACGACCCGCAACGGCCTCTGCCTGTCTGCCGCCTCAGCTAGGCGCCGCCTCTCCTGCCATGGACGAAACTGGACTCCTCATTTGGCGCATGGGTCAAAATTAAAGGATATGGACCGCAGGTTTTGGTCCATGTTTCCATTTACCGATCGGGTTCCCTTCTGGGGTTACCCTATTTTTGACCCACAGCCATTTAGGGCGCTGTCTGAAGGCCACGATTTCCGGATCAAAGTAATCCGGATCTAAGTAGAACCCATCCTCTTATAGGGGGGTGTTGCGCACAGCAACCCGGATTCCCACAAGGGGACACCAGAATAATTACCAACATCAACATCATCAACCAGGGGTGCTGCTTAATCCGGGTTCACATTTTGTCAATGCTGGTTTGGAGGTTCCGTGGACTCCGCATGTGGTGGCTCCCGAAAAGAGAAGCCATTGTAGCAAACCTCCAACGGGGCAACTAGCCTGGCTGGCCCAAGCCAAGCAAAGGGGTATGGTGACCATGGCACGCAAGGTCAAAACTGGGGATGCCCCCAAATTGGTTTGGGTCTTATGTTCTGTGCTCCAAACATCCACAAACTGACTCCCCCGGCACCCCTGGGGCAATGCGCCGGTTCCCCCCAAGGTATGACCAGGCCCATAGAAAGGGTTTGGGAGACGGTTTTCAAATTTGGGACCGACCCGTGGTCTCTCCGTTGGCACTCCCGGTTTAACCTGCTAGGATGCAAACGGCGAGACAGGAAAGGTGCGGAAGGAACCAAACCGGGGTTCTGACTGTGGGATCGAATCTGTCTGGGGTGATTGAACATCCTAAAATCCACCAATTATTTGAAGCTTTGAAGCATGCCCTGAAAATCCCCGTTGGCACTCGCATTGAACTTTCCAACATTTGCTTGGGGAAATGGCCTCTCAGGGGCGGTACACTGGCAGAATTTCCTCCTGAAACATCACCCCGCAAGAAGACTCACTTTAAATGGGCCCGAAAAGGTGATGTTTCAATCCGCCAAACAAAGGCAATTGTTGCTCGTCATGATTTTTAATCGGGAACCACCTGTGCACATGAACCCCAACCTAAATGATGTCCACCAAAGGGTCCCCAATTAAAACAAATGACACACCCATATTAGACCATATCGGGAGCCCGGTGGGGGGCCCTGTCCCTTACTGCGCAACGATCTCATCTCCTTCCGCAACGCGGCGCGCTCCACATCGAACTCCGCATGGAGAGCCGTCCGCTCTGCCTCCACCTCGGCGCAAACAAAACGTGCGTGCCATGTTTTGAGGGTACCCTTTTCAGGCTGGTTTAAAGGTTGGAGGGTACCCCTGTCAGGTTGGTTTGAAGGGATACCACCAGAATAAAATGCTTTGGGGTACATTGATTGATGCTGATACGCTCACCGGTCTCTCTTTTCAACCTCAGATGTTGTACCTCAAACAAATCAATTGTTTGACCCACGGGCCAGTTTTTGCAGACTGCATATTCACTAGACCCCAGTTCAGTAGCAGTAAACATGTCATGGGAACCCCTGGTTGATTTTGAGAGATGCATTTTGACAAAGCAGATGGTTCCGAAGTCGCAATGGGGGAACAAGCCAAAATCAGCAAGCCGGTTTCAATGCCTTGGGAAAACCGACTGCACACGCCCGAGTGATGCGAGGGATACGACAGACATGGTGACACACCCAGTTCTTGAAATAAACGCACCGAATCATTGACCACCCGCACAATCGGAAACAAAACAAAAAACACAAAAAAACAATCAACCTATCTCCCACTGGAAAAGTGACTGTCAGTGCATGGTGGTAGAGTCCACTTAATTGACCAAAGGACCTAGAACTCAACGGCGAACCTTTTGGTGCCATGACTTAAAGTGGACCAACCTCAACCTCGGCCCCTCCCGGAGCTGGTTCAAACAACTACAAAACTAATTCCGTTTCAGACTCCTTGTCTTCTGTTGCCCCAATATTCTAAATTCCGTTTCAGACTCCTTGTCTTCTGTCGCCCCAATATTCTATTGTCACGGTCACCCCTAAGTAGGCTACAGGGACACAACACCAATTCCTCACTGTGCAAACCCCAGAAACAACCAAATAATGATCCCAGTGACAAACATCTTTGATCGCAGCACAATGCCCATCCCCTACCCAAAGTAGATGTTCGCCCTATCCCCATCCGGGCCTCCACTTGGTCGGTTGAACATAACTAACTCTGGGCTGTGAAACCAAAAGATAATGATGATGATGATGCTGATGATGATGATGATGATGATGATGATGATGATACCCAAGCTGACTCAGGATTGAGGGGCACAGACAAGTAAGAAACAAACACGGCGCCAGAAGACACACGTGACATGGAAAACTAAAGATACTCACCTCTTCATTTTCTTTGCCCCCTGGGCCATTGGGTGCAACAAAAAACCGCGGATCCCTCGCCTCCTTCCACAGCTTCTCGCGCTCCCGCGCGATGTCGCGCTCCGCGTTTCGCGCCGATGCCTGAGGGTTCACTGAGGCGGCTGGTTGGACCCTTCCCGTGGGTGTGACTTGTCTTGGGGGGGGGACCCCCCAAAAAAATGGTGGGTCCTTTGGTTTCCTGTTACAAAAAAGGGTACCCCCCCACCCCCTCAAACATAAAAGAAGCAGACACAGTCAACATACCGTCAAGATCATGGAAGGCGAGCTCTTCCCTCAACCGAGCCCAATAGAACACCACGAGCCATCCGGTCAAATAGGATGATGTTGCACTGGCTAGGGCCGGCTAGGGAGGTTTGGTGGGTCCCCGACGCCGGGCAGCAAGTCACTGCGCTACTTTGGCTCGACTTTGCCTGGAGTTTCTTCAAGGTCTCGTTCTCCTTCTCGTACTTCTTCAGCTCCTCGTCCAAGGCCTCGTTTCTTCGAGGTTTTTTTTGTTCGGCACGACGGCCGCAGGTCGCCAGTGGCATTTTCCCTCTTAGATGGCTTTTTGTCGGTTGGTTTAGTACAGAAGTGGAAATAGGTCACCAGGGAGTTTCCCTGTTAACATATGTCCCGTTTGGCTTTGGAAGGACTGAGAAAAGCAGCATGGATTGTGTTTTCAGGGGACGCGTGACTCAAGCCTCCGAAGAAATATGTATCTACATATATATATATATATTATACGACTCAGGGGGACAAACGGCATGTTGGACACGCGTCGAGCAACATGTCATCCATTTTGGCAAGATGTCCAATGAATCAATATATATATATATATAGAAATATATATATATATAGGTGGCTGCGTGTGTGTGTGTGTCAATGAGCGAGAGACCATGTTTCACGGCTAAAGCTTAAGTTTGGACGCTCATAGGAAAGCGTGTTCCTCCATGACCAATCATGGGCGACATCTTCCGTCTCCGGTCCGCGTTTTCCGAAACAAGGACGTGGTAGATTCCAATACGTGGATTTGGTTGGAGCCTGTGGCGGATGGACCTTTAGGTGTTCTGGGAACCAAGGCTCCGTTTCCTGGCATTCCAGATCGGATTGCACCAAACAACCGCAGACCTAAGAATACAGGTTCAGCCTTTTGCCGCATTCTCAAAGCTGAACAGTTGCGGCCAACAGAAAGGCGAGGAAGCCAGCTATTTCTGCCTCACTTGCGCAACGAGGTTGATGTTCTCCCCGCGCGGAATCCACAAATGCGTAGCTCGTCAATGTCATTCGGGTGGCCCGCCCGCAACGAAAAGAAGAGTCCAAGAATCGGGGTCAGCCCATGTCAGAATGCTCGAGAGGCTGCAAGGGTTTGGGGAACCTTTGAAGAAATTCATTGGTCACCAAGAGTTTCAATCGTATATATATATATATATGTGTATACATACGTAAAAGGGACGTCACCCACAAGCTAGCCTCCAGCAGGAAGTTTTAGCACACTACAGTACTCCTGAGAAGCCACGCAAATGTCAAGAACAAACATCCAGCCCAAATTCGAAGGCAAGTCAAGTTGAATCATCGAAACCCTATATAATTTGTCTGGAGACTTTCTCCAGATTTCTTCGAAAATCAGGCAGCACTCAGCTTTGGTTTCTCTTCCTTCCAAACCCAAAAAAGGCTCAAGCAACAGACCGAAGGCGCTCCCAAGGCGGTCAAATCTTGGGGCAAGCCCCAGCTTGCAGAAACAGGGATCCGGATGCATTCACCTGAACATTGCCTTGTAAATGGTGGGTTCTCTTATTATTCTGCGGGAAAAAGCCATGTTGCTGGAAAAAGCCATGTTTCGCATGGGCAAAATGTATCTTTTAACGAGCTCTGAGAAACCAGCGCGTTGCATCCAATTCTGCGATTTGGTTCATGCATTTTGAGCTATGCATTCTGAGAGGGGCCGCTCATCATGACTTACTAGTCAGTGCAGCTAGTAGTGGATGTCCATGGAAAACAGGGCAGGCTTGTTTGGTGGCTGGCTTTAAAGGGAACCCCTCCCCCTTCATAAGAAGTAGAATAACGAGCTCGCACTGACTTCTGGTGACTCATCACACGGGCCATGGCGGCTCCCGCAAGGCCCAATGCTGCCGAATCGGGAAGTTTTCTTCAAACAAGACGCGTGACTTTTTGCTCTGGAGTCTGTTGATGTCTGTGGCATCTCACAATGTGTTTGAGCACTCATTGAGAAGTATGCCGCGCCCTCATGCCTTGATGGGATTTAGAATCTTCTACTGCAAAGGGAATGACATTCAGCACCAGGTGGTTTCGAGGTTAGGAGGTGGTTTCCCATCTACCCTTTGTAAGAACAAGCCAAACCACCAATCCTGATGGGGTTGCCTAAGCGGCCACAAACCGTCCACCTGGCATACTCCAAAAAGCTTGCTTCATGTTTCGACCCCCCCGCCCCCCAAAAAAACACACACACAAATAGTTTTCGTGTGTAAACAAGTTGTAAGACCAAAAAAGCACGCCGGGAAAGTAGGCCCCAACGAGGGATAAACGTAACGCCTCCGCGCTCTTAGGGGGCATTTAGGGGCATGGGGCCCCAGCCGTCAGCCGAGCCTTCGCCTCCGCCGCCGCCTTTCGCATGTGCATTTCAAAACCAAAGTGTGTATCATACATATATATATATATATATATTTTCATATGTATGCATATGAATCATGTGTGTATATAATATATATACACCTATATATATATATATTGAGTATATGTCATATAATGTATAGTACATGTATTTATTGTAGATATCACCTTGCCCCTAATTAGTAGTTGGTGGTTTGGTTTGGTGGTTTGGATGTTAAGAAGCAGCTTCCCCATCTGGCAGTGGGTCAAAAATATGTACCCAAACTGGGAGCCCTGGGAAATGGAAACATGGATTAAACCTGTGGTCCCATGGTGGTTTAATTCTGACCCACAGCCATCTGACTTCAAAAGGAAGCGGGGGTCAAATCCCCAAACGGCCCCAACCATCAACCCAAACCACCAACGAAGGGGTACCTGAATATATACATGTTTGTGTCTCTCATGTAGACATGAACACGTGCATTTAGAGTGGGATGCTACGCAGTATAGCATGCATGTGTACGTATTGATGTATATACATTATATGAGTTTCATTCATCTATGTATCAGCCACATGTGTGTGTGTGTGTGTGCATGCATTAGCACAATCGCAGCTGGAATCTAATCATAGTAAATTGAGTTTCATTTGGTATGCTGGACTGATCTTTGCCGGCCACTCGTGAGGCCTCTCGACTCTTGACCTCATCGAGAGGTCCAATTGACACCACAAGCCAAATCGCTTCATATGCCAGAGGTGGGTCAAAGGCAAAGGGAATACCCTGCATCTTTGTTGGAGAGTTTGGCATGGCTGCGTCAAGCAGTCTCCAACTCTTGCCCTCCCGGAATATTTGAATGGCTCGGAAAGTTACTCCACTCATGGAAATGTTAAACAAGGATTGAACGACAGTCCGGACTAGTGCTGTTGTTGTTGATGATGATGATGACGATGACGACGACAACGAGGATCATTATGATGGTGATAGTGGTGATGATGATGATGATGATGATGATGATGATGATGATGATGATGATGATGATGATGATAAGGACGAGGACGAGGACGAGGATGGTGATGGTGGTGGTGGTGATGATGATGCACAATGATAGCTTCAGTACAACACTATCATATGAAGGGAAGTTGAAATGGTTCATCATCCTGGTGGTTCATCATCGTGGGCAATATCAAAATACATTCCATTTCAGTCAAACTCAAACACATCAAGAGTCCAAGTGTCTTCGGTCACAAGTTGATTTTGCAGATTGCTTCAAAAAACAGCTGCGGCAAGAAGCATCCTGATTGTCCGTTGCAGGAATCCCAAGGAGCAAAGAACGAAAGGATCAGCAATCGAAAGTTCAAGCCACGATGGGAAGGCACATCTGTGCCAGAAGAGCATTCATAATTCAGTCTTGAATGGGTGTCAAGAATCCCCCTTCCTCGATCTTCCAAAGTCAGGAGACCGTTCAGGGTGTCTGAAAGGCCCGACTTACTTGGCCAGACTTAGACCCACGACAAACAGTTGTTTTTCTGATGGTCGAAAGGGAACATAAAGAAAACCCAACAAGCAGGCAAAAGCAACAACTGGCTGTTCCCCCCAAATGCATTTTGTCGAGTCTTCCCCACAAAATGAAACCACTGCTCAATTCCATTCACAAGGGCGTGGGATGTTAAAGGCAAGTCTTGACAATCTCTTGGCCCTCCCCGGCTTTTGCGCCTCATCATCTGGTCGCTCCCGCCGCTCTGCACGCTCGCGCTCGGCGCGTGAGGTCTCGGGGCCCTGACTTTTCCTGCCTGGGAAGCGTCAAAGTCCCACCATCCCGCCGAAACTCAGACGTGACCCGCCCCCCCCCCCCCGGAAAATGCGCTTTTGATTTTGACACTAGCTACATGGCAGGCACGGCTTCATGCTGTTTCCGGGGCCGGTAGAATTGTAAAGAATGGCAACGTTGCGAGTCGTTTGCAAGATTTTGCAAGCAAGCGGGCATCCTTTTTTCTGCTACGAGTCTTCCGGCGAGTTGCCAAGGTGGTCACAAGCCACTTGCTGTCTCTAGCATGCCTCCTTCGCAGGCATCCAGAGGGCGTTCCCTTATGACCCAAAGGCTTCATCTAGATGAGTCGATCCAACTTAAGCATGGAGATTTGCAAAAACGCCACTAATCATCGAGGTGTAGGGCTGCACACACACACACACACTTGAACTCCAAATGGAGAGTGCTAATCTTTCGAGTACAACTGATGAGTCTCGAGTACAACTGATGAGTCTCGAGTACAACTGATGAGTCTCGAGTGGGTTCGGCTTGCAGTCACTTGGCTTCCGTCTAGCAGCGAACACGTTACCCGAAAGAACAAGAAGCGCAAACAGCGCCGCAGCCAAGGGGCCAAATAGACATTCAGAATCACTGATGCAGGCCTGCGTCCAGCATCTCCTCCGCCCGATTTCCGTAGCTTCGTTGGCACGGCTTGGAAATCAGGCGCCGTGCCCCCTGCCTCCGAAAACGGCCCAAGGTGGTGACAGGGTATTCTGTCACTCCGCACACACACACGCCCCTCAATGAGGGGCGAGGAGTCTCCTTTTCTGCAGGAAGATCACATGCTCCACTTCGTGTTCCTATCGTTGACCAAAATATCCACCGCGGCGAGGGGAACGCGAAACAGCCCTAAACCGCTCAGAAGACGGGAACGAGAGATCACCACGATGAGCATTGCGAGTGTCGCCATAGAGGACTGAAGCGAATTGGGAAGCAGTCGAGCGATCACCATCAGAAATAGGAGTGGCATAGGTGAACGTTTCCTCAACAGGAATGGCATCGGAATTCTGAACATCTCCAAGTGATTGATCATGGGCATGATGTGTAGTGAAGGACTCACTTCGAGACAGAATGCGTTGGTATCCTTGATGTTGCCAGTCGCGAATGGTCCATGCCTGACCGTGTTCACCAGTACGCCCGCTGGGATCAGTTACCCGCTGCCACTCCCGAAAAGAATTGTCTGGTAGATCAGGTACAGTGTCTCCGTGGTGCCACCGCTGAGGCTGTCCTGGAGTATAGATCCGCACCCACTAGTAAAGAAACAGGCACCATGCACAACCATGCACAAGCATCAACCAAGCAAGGTAGTGCAAGTAAGAAAACCACCCCTTTTTGCATTCTGCCCAACACGCGTGGGTCTAGTCATCATTTAGCTCGAAGATAGGTTTGACCTTCGCGGTGGTGCTGCCTGATGGATTCACAGGCCGGTATGGGTCAGAGACCCCAACAGTCTCCGGTGGTGCAATTCCACGAGATGCACGTACTGGTTGGTGTTGGTGGGAAGCGTGACGTGCGCGATCTTGAGAGATCCCCTCTTGGAGACGAGTCAGATCCTCAGTGGAGAAAGCCGCCGCATCCGAGGATCTAAAATCGCTTCCAACATCTGCGGTGACATACTCAATGCCGCGGATTGCGTGGCCACGTTATGGTGATCAGGAAAAGACATCGAATCAAAGTCATGACCAGCTTGAGGGGCAGCGACTCTCCGGTAGCCCTCTGTAGCCCAGTCTCTTTTGTACCACATGCTGTCATTGGGCTGCGCTTCGTCTTGATCCGGATTTGGGACATAGAACTCCTTCCACTCTCTGTATGTGTGAGGCGGAGGTGGAGCATCATGTTCTTCATGTGGAGTCCATGATCCCGGATGAAAGATTTTGACCCACTGGGCATCTGGTTGTTGAGGATCCGGACACCATTCCAGCCACGGCATGACAATTCAAACCCGGGAAGACAGATTGATAGGTGTACGGCTGCGGACAACAATTACTGCAAGAGACACAACAACAACCACGCAAGCAATCACTTTTGCAGCAATGCACGGCTCAGTTGTTGAAGTCCATCTCCTGAATCGAATTGAATTGAATAGACTCCCCAGGAAGACGAGGACGAGCATCAGCCACCATCTGAGTTTGAACATGCTGACGAAGAGGTCAGTCCAGCGTACATGAGGTCCGGTGAGCCCGAAGCGAAAACTGGACGCGCAATGCTAGGGTGTGGACGACCCAGCCGTTGATATCCTCTGGTGACCCAGTCCCGATAATGCCAAGTATAGAAGGATGCATAAGAGACCGGCTGAGAAACAGCACCCATATTGGTGCCGCCCGTGCTCTCCCTCGGCCAATACACTTCGAAGTGGTATGCTTTGCGCCACTCCCGATAGGTGTTTGAGTCCTCCGGGGCAGGACCCAAGGTGTTTTCGGCGACTGGATGCCACGGACCCGGCACATAGATCCGAATCCACTCAACGCTTGTGTTCGCGGGGCCATTGACGATGTCGTAGTCAAAGTAGTGTGGCAGGACCCATCGTGCAGCGCCATACATTGTAGAATTGAACATATCAACCAGGCAAGCCGCTCGAAGTCATAAAGGAAAGCGGCGAACACATGGAAACGGAACGCACAACACAAAGCAAGACAACCCAACATGGAATCACACTCAACGCAGGGACAACCGCGTCATTTTATCTGACATGCTACCAAAGTATCACTCCGAATCGTTCCAAGGATCATAGAATGGTGGTGGTGAAGGTTCCCGCCACGCCCCATCCGGAACAGATGAGTCCACCGAGGAATTAGCGTCTGCATTCACGAGCGTCGCAGATCCAATGGCTGGTACAGGAGCTCCAAGACGTTGATACCCTCGTGTTTGCCAAAACCGGCTGTAGGTCAGCAAGAAGACTGGAACCATGTACATGCCACCGACAAGCTAGTTTGCGAAGTTGCGTAGTGAAACGCTGATGCAACAAGTCAACATCACCGAAATACTGATCCTTCATAGACGCGGCCATGATCTCCATGTCAATGTCCGCATTGATGCGTGAGAACTCATCTACCATTACAGCATGTTCATGTGCACGGTGTAGGTGGTGATCATCAATGTCCAAACAGCGACACGGAAAAGATGTTTCAGGAGCCCATCTGCGTTGCCATGTGCGGTAGTTGTAGATCCTGTCGCCCAACGTGGCGCTGCGGGTTTCCACCACTCGGATCTTTGGAAGGAATAGGGAGGGAAACAAGTCACGATGAGAAGCAATCCAGCTTTGTAACCATGTGCCAAGTTGAGCTTTCCAATTCCGGACATGTAGAGGCGGTAGAAGTAGTTGTGTCAAAGTGCTGGGTGACCGTAGCTGTCGTTTGCGCAACACCTGGGCGAGGAGTTTCTGTGCCTTGGAGCGAAAAGGCTCGTTGACAAAGACAGAGAGTCGCAGAAAGTAGTAAAGATGAGTGGGAGGAAAAGGCGGTGAGAGTAGGTCACGCATGGCTTGGAACGATGCGCCTGTATTGGATCCCAGCTGATAGAGAATCGAGTAATGTGCTTGAGTGTCATCCAACATGTCGGGTCGTAATTGCCGTTGAAGATCCGGATGTAGTCGTCGTCGAAAGCGTTTGTGTAAACCGAGGGAGGTGGGAGACGACAACGAATGACGTCGAAAATCAACGAGATGCTCACGGAAGCCCACCTTTCGTAGAAGTCTATGTACCCAGGGCGCATTCAAATGCGGACGTGGCAGGTATTGCCATTTGCTTTCTTGGACCCAAACCGAGGAAACGGGAAGTTTAATCTCAACCGGAACTGCACAGAAAAGCCAGTAAGTATTGGAGCGCTTCCAGTAGTGAAGCGCGGGTTCAAAGAAGGCATGACGTCCCCGGAGTAGTTGTAGAAATTTGCGACTGCGTGAGTGTTCACGTCGTAGAACGTCCTGATCAGTCGCACCAACGTAGTAAGGCGTGTGCCATGGAGAAAGTCGGATGTAGACGCACGGTTGTTGGTGATGACCTGGATCGTGAATGAAGTCATAGAGGTCCGGAAACCGTGTCCGCAATGAGCGAAGATGTCTCGTGTCTGCGAAAGTGGAGTGCATAATTTCACACAAGAGAGATGTCTTGTAGAAGTGAAGAACTTCAAAGAACGGTGGGAAGTAGCCGTGATCTTGAGAGATGAGACGTTGCAAGAAACTGATCAATAAATAGGCGGTGCACCGACATCTGTGAAGCTCATACCTGTTGGCCACAGTGTGTTGAGAATGCGACATAGCGTGATTCGGAATCTGAAGGGCAATCCGGACCACAACTAATACCTCCAGAATGAGGCCCAACCACGGTAGTTGCGTGATTGATTCGAACTCATCGGCTGGTATCGACGGTAGTGGTAGTCCAGGGAAGCAGTATTGCCAGCACGTAGAGAACATGGTCAACGAGTGTAGAAAGTTGTCCAGAGACTGCCATTGTGCAACATCATCATAGATTCCACAGCGGCGAAGCTCAGCCAACATGGTGAACATGCAACCAATGAAATCTACCGTGAGGCGGCGACATGAATACAAGCTGCACAGAATATCACGCACAAGACAATGCAAGCACAGTCAAGCACAAGATCAAACTAATGCAAAGCAAGAAGATGACGGACGAGTTTTAAACCTCGAGTCATCCGTGACACCTGGATCTATCACGATCATCACGTCGAGACATGGTGACGCAACCGACTCTGAATCTTCACACTTCCACCTTGAGAGAAACGAATCCGACAACATGCAAATCAATGCAAATGAAAGTCAACGGCCCCCAGCTGCGATGGTTGATGAAATGGATCCGACAAAAGGTAAGTCGATGCAAGTTGATGTCAGCGTCCATCATCAGCATTGGTGCAAGAAATGAATCTGACAAATGAAAGGCAATGCACGGTCAAGTCAGCAGCAATCAACCGATCAGACGAAATGCGCTCTGTGATGATGCGAGGGCGCAGCCCGTGCCTGGAGTTCCGTGGTGCCCTGGGAGACACTCTAGTGTCCGACTGATGGCTTCGCTCGGTCATCAGGGCAAAGTTCAGGGTGTCCAGAGCTGTCGCTACTTGGGATGCAAGGACATTTAGTACCGCCACCAGGTTGTTCACAAACTCGACTGACAACTGCATGGCAACTGAACACACACAAAGGTCAAATCAAGCAAGAAAGGCTGCGGAACTGAAACGACATGATGCAGGCAAACATGCATGCGCCGAACTACTGAGGTCCTTTTGCCGCTGGTGTTCCGTCAACGGTGATATCAGAGACCCGATGGTCGACACGCCGGCATGGCCTTGACTGCCGGCGGGTACTTCGGAGTGGAGGCGCGGCGGTGGGACGTGGGAACTGCGTCGTCAGGGCGGCCAGGAGGTCGCCTGTGGTGACTGCGGCTGCGAGACCGACGCCGATGAGGTTCCCGGTATCTGGACCTTCTCCTCCGTCTGTGCTCCCTGGAAGTACTGACACTCACCGTGCGGACATGAGCAGTGTGTTCCATCCGGTTGTCCGAGGTGGCCACAAGAGTGACGGGTGCCGTCGAGTAATCCGGCCGAACTGAAGTTGCCGGCATGGACGGCGGCGTCGTAGATGGCGGGGGTGGCGGCGGTGGTTGCCCGTCAGGAACTGGTGGTGGGGGTGGCGGCTGTGGATGCCGCTGCTGACCTTCAAGACGTTGCAGTCCGGCCACAAGAATACTGATTTGCGACGAGATG